AGAGTTGATTATGGAGAAAGGGTGACAGAGTGGAAATGTAGACACACTGGTGCCAAAGACACCTGACTTCAGATTTGATTCAGCCTCCCTAGGAGTTCCTTGAGGTATAGACCCCTCGGGACACGGTGACCAGTGAGTCCCCAGCACCCCACGATGTGAGCTCAGTACAGGTTCAGGGTTAAATGAGTGGAATATCCTGGTCTCAGGACTCACCAGCTCTGTTTGGGAAACTGCATTCTGCCTTTTTACTCATCATCTCCAAAATGGTAATTAACATCTTGCAGGAGGAGGAGCCAGGGAGCCCTGGCACTGCTGGTGGGAGGGAAAGCAGACCACCTCCCCAGGACACTGAGACCAGCTACAGCCAGACACACACCCCACACACCCGCCCTGGGAGGAATGAATGCGCATGCGCACAGAAGGAAAGGAGGCACCTGGCCCTGAGCTCCCAGCAGCCCCCAATTAACAACTCCCCAAATGTCCACAAAAGAACCAACAAAACGTGTAATGACCTGGTGGGACAGCGACTCCGATACCCTCAGTAGCAACGAAGCCACCTCCAGCTTCCCACAGCCACAAGGATGAGCCTCATAAACGTAAAATCACGTGAACGTCGCCAGGCACGGAGATGAGAGGGGACATCTCCCAGGGACACGAAGCTGCAAAACTGCAAAACTGACCCAGGACACTCACGGCCAAGACAGTGGTCACCTGAGGGTGAGGGTCAGCCACCAGGATTGCTTCGGAGCGCTGTCACAGTCTGACTCTAGACCTGGGTCCTGGTTATGGGAGGGGCCTTCAGAACTCCTTGAAATCCTCCTGTGTGCTGCAAGTTTTTCTTGGGTATAATGGATTTTTAGGATGAACATTTAGCATCAGTTTCCCCTGGAAAGAGTACATGAAAACTCATTTATAATAGGCTCAGCGGGGGTGGGGGGGGTGGGGGGATGGGAAGTTTTTATCCAATGTCATTTATTCATTGCTAATTACTTGGCTACCGTCTATTCAATTATTAAATATTGATTCCCACAGGGTCCATGGTACAGGCCTCTAATCCCAGCAGCTGGAGGCTGAGGCAAGAGGATTGCAAATTCAAAGCCAGCCTGGGCAACTTAGCCAGGCCCTAAGAACTCAGTGAGACCCTGTCTCTAAATAAGATATAAAAAAGGGCTGGGGATGTGTCTCAGTGTTTAAGTGCCCCTGGGTTCAATCCCCGGTACCAAAACAAAACAAAAAATTCCCACCTTCCTTCATCCAGGGTGAAAACAGAGGAAAATAGCCCCCACCCAAAATAATAGTAACGTCCATATTAAGCACTTGGTGTGTGGCTGGAGCTCACCTTGAGCATCTCATTACGCCCTCACAGCAACCCATGGAATACAATGCTGCTGTTCCATTGACGCCTGAGAATGCCAAGGCTCCGAGAATGTCACTTGGCCAAGGTCACACAGAAAATGGCCAGGTGGACAGCCAGATGCTAGAGCTCTCTGGGGATGTGTCTCAGTAGTTAAGTGCCCCTGGGTTCTTAGCCACTGTGAATTCCCCTCCGGCTCCCTTTCCTCCCAACACCCCTTGGTCCCTCCCACCCCCATCCCCCCACATACACACACACCAAGGGGAAAATGATGAAATACGTGCTCAGCTGAATGGAAAGTTCAAACAAGGAAGTATCAAGGGCTCAGAGATGAGAATAGGGCCAGAGAACTTCTTGTCTCCATCTTTCAATTCAACCTCCCTAATCTGAAACGGTTGGCCTGCGATTTGCAACCTAAACACCATGATTCCCCTGGACAGCTCCAGGGTTCTTCCTGCTCCTGAGTCAAAGAACAAACACGGGAGGGCAGGGCCAGTGAGGGAGGCTGGTCCCTGGCAAAGGAGGCTTTTGTGTGTTCCTCCTGACCCCTCCTGGGCTGGCTCAGGGCCTTCCTCACGTCGCCTCTTGGGGGTTCTCGAATTTTCTTCTCATTTTAAGGTTCACGCGGAGCTGTAAGCTCATCACACTTTCTCCTGGATGCGCTTGTTGAACACGCACCTTGTGATGATGCTGAGGTCCGCAGAAATTCAGCCACAAATGTTTAGAAGGTTGGTCCAGGCCCCGCCCATCAGTGCCTTGAAACTTCCATGCCCTTACGCTACCCTACACTGGCTCTGTCGGGGCACGAAGTGGGGACAACATTTGTTCCATCAAATTATAACCTCCCATAACCCAGATGGGCATTGTTAGCTCTGGGTCATGGGCGAGGGAGAGGGGAACTGTGAACAAGTCCTGGAGACCCGGTAACAATGTCCTCTGCACTTTTGTCTGCTAAGAGGACAGAGCCCATGGTAACCACTACAATTTTCAAACAAAAAGTAGGAAGAAAAGGAAGAGAGGGGAAGTATCTTGCCCAGACCCACAAGCTGTTCCTGGGCTGAGCTGGGTCTGGAACTCAGAGCTGCCGGATGTCCCAGCCCAGGGGAGGGCTCCAGATCAGGGGCAGGAGCTTTCTGAACCAGAGACTGACATGCAAACTTGCCCTGAGGAGCACAGAGGCTGGATGGCCCCGAATAACAGTCGGACTTCACCTCTGCCCAGCTGGGCAGGCCAGTGCCCTCCCTGAGCCTCGGTTTCCCCCCAGGATCATCACAGATGCTCCAAAGCTTCAGCACCGCTCTCCGCGTCTGGTCCTATGGTGGCAGGTTTTGCAGGTCAAGAGCTGCTTTCCTAGTTTAAGACTTGAGCCTCTCCTCCCCTCTCTTTCTCCATCTGCAAAGTCTCCAAAGGCCCAGGTGCAGGAGACAAGTACCCGAGGCTTCTTTGGGGGAAGAGCAGCAGGAAGAGGCAGGGGAGAGACCAGGATGCAGCAGGATTCCTCAGGCCTGGGAACCTGGAGAGAATTTTCCAGAACATAAAAATGGGAAGCATGAGAGAATGGACTTCACCACTGTGGGCAGCCACAATGGTCAGCAGTGTGGGGATAGGACATTCATCACTCAGCCCAGTTAGAAGGAAAAGGACCAACTGTGAACACCGTGCCCCATGTCAACTGGGCGACTCTGGACACATCAGTCTCGCACTCTGAGACCCATTTCCCCCACGTAAAAGCTCACTTCCCACTTCAACCAGGGCTGTGTGTCCCTGGCATGTGGCAAAAACTCACAAGTGTTAGCCATTGGCATTATTCTTTTTTCGAACATTCACTCTTTTTATTTACTTTTTATTTTTTTAGTTGCAGACAGACACAATACCTTTATTTTATTTATTTGTGTTTATGTGGTGCTAAGGATCAAACCCAGGACCTCACACATGCAAGGCAAATGCTCTACCACTGAGCTACAACCCCAGCCCCCTGTTGGCATTTTTAATTGCTGTTATTTTCCAGTGAGTTGAGGTCTAACTGTGCTCTCTGGGTCACGTGTCCCCACTAGGTCTCAGTTTCTCCCTCCCAAAAGGAGGAACAGTCACCTCCCCCTCCCAGGTTCTGATGAGGATGTGCAATTACATGACCATCAGGCACCAGGGGCTCAGAAAATGGAAGAACCCCAGGCAGGAGCGGAGAGACCCCCAGAGATGGAGAAGTCTGATGCAGTTTGACACTTGACATTGCAGGAGTAGAAAGAGCTCTCCAATTAGAGAAAAAGAGTCAGACTAGTGAAGGAGAGGGGACAAGAGATGACACGGATGTCCCTTCCTGGGCTCTAACTGGCTGCCCTGTCTGGAGCTCCAAACATGATCTTCCAGGTCACCTGGGAGCATGGGTTCCCAACCTCTGCTGCGTGAATGAAACCACGAAGTCTTGAGTAACAGCCCATCTCAAGTTTTTCTGTTTAACTTGTGAACCAAATTGCTTAACTGACCCACCTGCTAATGTGATTGGCAATTATTTGTTTTGGAGAGCCCTGAAAGACACAACCACACTGAAGAATTCTAAACTATCTTGAAACCCATCATCCAATCTCCCATTTCCTGATCCCCAAGCTATAAAAGAGGCTGCTCCCCTGGCAGAAGCACCCAGGAGAGGAAGAGGAGACCAAGACACTGCTGAGACTTTGAGAAACCCAGGTGAGACGTGTCCCTTCACTGTCCCCCACTGCTCTGGGTGACAAGGATGCCAGCTTCCTCACTGTGGGACAGAAACTGGCAGACTGCACTTAGCATCATTTTGAGGGGATCTTAGAAACAGAACTGGCCAAGTTCATGGGCTGGGAATGGCTACTTGCTCTGCTTCCCTAGGAGACCAGCAATGCTGATGTGGAAATCAGGCTCCAACACCCTCAGTCAGGAGCTCCAGGGCAGGAATTTGACTTGGGGTTGTCAGTGTGGTCTGAGATGCTCACTGTGGCTGGGTGACTTCCGATATTAGGTGACTTGCAAGGGTATCCACAAATCAGACCAAAGAGCCATCCGCTTAGCAGGGAGGTGACAAAGTAGTTCGGTGCTCCAGTCACTGGCAAATTGAAGTCTTCATTTGCTTGGTCTGAAGAGCAGGAACTGGGCTGGGGAGGCTCCGAGGCAGAGCGCTCTCCTAGCGAGGACGAGGCCCTGGGTTCCATCCCCAGCCCTGCAGAAAGGGACGGTGGAATTCCTCAGAGGAGGTGGAACTAGGGACTCCTTAAGTGAGCCCAGCTGCTGAGAAATCTGATGGTCACTTAAATAGAGGCTTCGAGGTCAGGCAGAGCTGCTTCAAACCCACTCTCTATTGTAAACCTGTAACCTTGGGGTCCTTGGAGGAAGTTACCTGTGGTCACTAGGTCTGTGTTTCTTCACCTATGCAGGTGATAGGGACCCATGTCTCAGGAGATGCTGAAGATGAAATCAGTCACCCAGGGTACAGTCATCCACCTGTCGCCTGGCACAGAGAAAACGCCCAGCAGTCTAGCCATTAGTGCTGATCACCTCCGGGTGCTCTAGGGAGGAGATGAATGAGAACCCCACCCACTAGGGGAATAGGGCAGGCCGTGGACAGATTCTCCTCATATTTGTGCCACGTTGAACTCATTCTGTCCACAGATACCTAGAGATGTTTCCCACTGGGGCCCTCGTTGTCTTCTGTGGGCTGCTGGCCCACGCCACAGCCCAGCTCGCAGGCCTGCCCGTGCCCCTGGACCCAATTCTGCCTTTGGATCAGTCTCCAGCCCTGCCTTCAAATCCCCAGGATCTTGCTGGCAGCTTGACAGGGGGTAAGTCTGTGACAGCTTCTGTTGGATGTGTGTACGTACATGTGTGTGCGTGTGTGCACAGGTGTGCATAAACAACCCCCCATCTGTTAGGAGAAGGTGCACAGATGAACAGGGGAGAGGGACTGAGGGCCTGGAGACGACAGATGACAGAGGTGACCCTCAGAGGCCCTTCTACTCATTTCCAGCTCTCAGCAAAGGCCTGCTCTCCGGGGGTCTGCTGGGCATTCTGGAAAACCTCCAGCTTCTGGACATCCTGAAGACTGAAGGGGGCACTTCCGGTGGCCTGGTTGGAGGCTTACTTGGGAAACTGACTTCCTCTCTCCCCATCCTGAACAACATCCTCTCGTGAGTTGACCTACAATACTGCCCTGGTCCCCAGAAGCAGCTGAGATCTGCCAGCCCCAGGTGGCAGCCCTGAGGGAGGGGGCGGTGGCCTGAGCCTGCAGCTGGGACTCAGTTGGCAGGGACACTGGCCCTCTTCTCCAGTCCCTGAAGCACGTCCCAGCACCATCTGAAGGTCCTCAGGACAACCCTTCAAGGTCAGCTTAATGATGCCCAGTTCACAGATGGGGACACTGAGCACAGGGACAGGCCTGTGCTCACTTAACGAGATGCAGAGCAAGGAATGTCACTGTAACTTCCTGAGTCCAGGGCCCACCCATTTTCCTCTGCACCACTGCCATCTCCTCCCTCCCCCGCTGAGAACACAGTGGACTTTGATGGAGGCAGGAGAACATCAGCTCCCACCTCCAAGGTGTCATCAGTGACACTAACAGAGCCAGGCTGTGTCTGTGGAAAGTTCTGAAGTGGTGCTTCCCATGGGACACCCCAGAGCTCACTGAGCCAGAAGCACTAGGGTGTCTGTGAGCGGCCACAGCCTGGGCCTGGATGGGACTAGGTCAAAGCCATTGCCAAGGATCTGGCTCTGGCTCCCTGACTGGCAGAGAGAAAGACTTAAGATTGAGTGATTCAGGCCCATAGACGTTGGTGCAGACTTACCACTATTCCCACCATCGCCCATTCATGCACTGAACAAACCGTCCATCCGTCCATCCATCCATCTGTCCAGCCAAGCTTTACTTCATTTGACCCCTTCCTCTGCCATCCACCCACCTTCCCATCCACCCACAAGGGCAGCCCCTTCCTTGGTAAGACCCTGAGCTGGCACACAATAGGCCAACAACCCAGACACTGTCCCCTCCTGGATGACCTCATAGACCTGAGACGAAGAGGGCGTCATACATGTCAGGATCCAATCTTGGCAGAGGCTGGGAGAAGTGCTGTGAGGCTCAGCACCCGTGTGGCTCTGGCTGCAAGACACCCACATTGTCTTCCGTGGTCCTGGTGGGCAGCTCCTCCTCCCCTTGGATGGTCTCTGGGGTTGAAGGTGGTGTCCAGGTTTGAGGCTCGAGGAGCTGATGTTTCTCCCTCCAATGTTGCACCCTGGACAGCATCAAGGTCACCAATCCTCAGCTGTTGGAACTCAGTTATGTGCAGAGCCACAGCGCCCATGGCCTCTACGTCACCATCCCGCTGGGCATGATACTTAAAGTGAATACGTGAGTAGGTCCCATGAGCAGAAGGAAAGGTGGCTCAGCAAGGGAGACCTGAGGTCTCTGGGGAGGCACCAGGGGGTGGGAGTGCAATGACCTGAGCCTCCGTCTGCAACTCATTTGCCACTCTGCCGAGCAACCTTGGGTGCCGAGGGAACTCACTTGACCTCTGTGAGCCTTGGGTCTCCTGGGGGAAGTGAGCTGCATGCACCTGTGGGCAAGGTGGGGTCAGGTGAGGCTCACGTGCCTGAAGATGAGGAAAAACCACCTGCACCGTGGAATGTGGAGACCAGATGCCATCAGCGTTCCCTCCTCTCTAGGGGCCTGGTGGGAAGTCTGCTGGAGCTGGACGTGAAGCTCAACATCACTGCGGAACTCTTGGTTGTGAAAGACAATGAGGGGAAGAGCCACCTGGTGCTTGGTGACTGCACCCATTCCCCTGGCAGCCTGCGGATCTCCCTGCTTAATGGGTAAGGCCGAGGGCTGACTCTCTGCCCCCGAGGAACAGAGTGGAATGGTGGGTGGATTGATGGAAAGATGGAATGTTGGGAAAATGGAAGAGGAAGAGGATGGAAGGGAGGATGGATAAGAGATGGGTGGGTGGATGGAGGAGAGGGTGGATGAGTGGGTGGGTGGGCGGTTGGTGATGAATGGATGATTAATAGAGGTGGATGTTTAGATGGTTAAACGTGTGGAGGGAAGGATGGATGGATGGATATATGTGGACAGATGTATGGACAGATTAATAAGTAAATGGAAGGGTAAAGTTTTCACTTATCCTTATTAGGCCAGCATGACTAATTTGATGTTGGATTAGGAAACAAGATGTCTGAGTTTAAGCCTCAGCTATGACAGGGCTGAGGGGAGGTGAAGGGCCTCTGAGCTTGAATGGTCTTCTCCTGCGTGGCTGTGGCTTGCTTATCTGTAACGTGGAACTACATGGGGTCACTGATAAAGCCCCCAAGACAGCATGGGTGAAAGTGCTGTGTCCCCTAAGGGGCAAACAGACATGAAGTCTCACTAGGGTCCTCACTGGGCCTTGATGGGACTGGGTTAAAGCCATTGCCAAGGATCTGGCTCTGGCTCCGGCTCCCTGACTTACAGAGAGACAGACTTAAGTTTGAGTGATTCAGGCCCTTAGACGTTGGTGCAGACTTACCACTATTCCCACCATCACCCATTCATGCTCTGAACAAACCGTCCATCTGTACATCCATCTATCCATCCATCTGTCCAGCCAAGCTTTCCTTCATTTGACCCCTCCGCTGCCATCCACCCACCCGCATATCCATCCATCCACCTTCCCATCAATTTGATGTTGGATTAGGAAACTGGTTTCAGTCCCCTGTCACCTGGGAAGGCTGAGATCATACCCAACACGTAGGAGTCATGGCCCCATGGCTGAGGTCTTCACCTGCCATCTCAGGAGTCCTCCTAGCTCCACAGGGAGCATGGGTCATACTTTGATGTCCTTGTGAAAATCAAAGTGGTGCTTCCAAGCTCTCTCTCCCCCTGCCCTGCCCTGGGGCTGTAGGCTCCTCCTCCACGTGCCTGTGTGTGCAGGGCATGACTCCCTCTGGGTAGGACCCTGGCTGCACATGGGGTGAGGGGACAGGCCTGGTCTGATGCTGACACTGTGTCCCTCTCAAGAATTTTCCAGGTCCACCCTCGGCTCCTGAGTCACACCCACAGCTTTTTTGCTCCCTTCCCCATTCAAGACCTCGTGGACAACCTCACGGGCATCTTGAATAAAGTCCTTCCTGAGCTGGTGCAGGGCAAGGTAGGTGGGCTGGGCTGGGGGCTCCCCTGATCCGTGCGCCTCAGAGATTCTCAGGCTGAGAGAGTCCTGGGGTGACTACCTGAGTCCCACGGTTTAAGAAGTAATTCCACCTGTCCATCAGTCTGTCAGTTGCTACATCTGTCCATGGTTCTTTCCGTCCCTCCAAATGCCTCGGTGGGCTACAGTCTGGTCCAGGCCCCGTGCCTGTCCACACCGCAGCTGAACTGGGTCGGCCCTGCCTGAGAAGCCCCACCAGCCCTCCATGGCTGCAGACCAGAGGTCTTCCAGGCTAGGCTCGGGTGTCTCCTAGGGCCAGAAACCACCTTCCAGAACCTTCCACAAAGGCAAAGTCACAGAGTGAACGCACCTCAGCATGACATTCAGGCCCCTTCCCAACGTCCCTCATGCCTTTAGTTTCTCCTTCTGCCTAAAGTGCCTGAGACATTCGTCCCCAAACCTGCTCAGAATCAAACGCTTAGACACAGAGAAGTGACGGAAACCTTCCCCAGAGAACCCCCAATAGAGACGATGCTGCTCCCGGGTGTCCCACGGCTGCCCCTTTGCTAACTCCCCTCTCTGCCTGGCTCAGGTGTGCCCTCTGGTCAACGACGTTCTCAAACTCTTGGATGTCACCCTGGTGCATGATATTCTTAGTAAGTGGTGCTTCCAAGCTCTCTCCCCCTCTGCAAGAGCAGCCATGTCCCCAGGGGTTTTGTCCCTGCACACCACAGGGCAGCTCGGACCTCTGCTTTCACCTTACCTTGGTTTTGTTTTCTTTGTTTCCCCTGAAGTATCCGGAAAGTTCTGAGGTCAAAGGCTGCCCTCCTTGGCCCTGACACTGAGACCAGCTGGGCCCTGGGTGGAAGGGCCCGTCCTCATCCGACCAGCCTGAGCATGACGGGTCTCCAGCAGCCCCACTTGCTGGCCCTGCACCTCAGGAGGAATGTGGCTCTCCCTGACTCCTTCTCCTCACGACCATGACTCTGGTTTTCTGTTTTGTTTTTCATTTTCTAGACAAGCTGATCCCTGAAGTGAATCTTGTCATCAGGGTCTAGGCCTTGCTGAAAGGACCCTGGTCTCTGCTCTGCTGGTTAGTGTGGCTCCCTGCTCCACAGGATCTGGGACAGTCTGTTACTCTGCTGGTAGGAGGCAGCAGGGGTCTTGAGACTAATGACACTTATATAAGTCAGCTTTCCCTCCCTGTAACGAAATGCCAAAAGTAATAAATTATAAAGACAAAAGGTTTGTTTGGGCCCAGTTTGTTTCCAGTCCATGATTGATGGGCGACCCTTGTCACGGTGAGGCAGTGCCTCATGGTGGGAGCATGTGATGGAGCAGATGCTCACCTCATCAGGCACAAAGCACAAAAGAAAGAGCAAGAACTGAGCACACACATCCAGAATCACCACACGCAAGTCCACTTGAGCTCATGGACACACACTCTCAAATGCATGATCCAGGCCTGGGCTACCCTTGTGACTGAGGCCAAGCCTCTAGGCCCAGGGTCTCAGCCTCCTCCTGTCCCCCTGGAGGGCAGGTTTGATGCTGGATCAACACCAATAAGATTCCATGACCTTGAGTCTCCCTGCTGACTGGGCTCTTCTCCCCACAGACCCGCTTCTTGCTGCAGTCCACCCGCTCCTGCCCAGGACAGGGAAGGCTGGCCCCACGTCCTAGAAAATGACAAGGCTGCCTCGTCCCTGGGAGCCTGCGCCCCCCCTCCTCCCGCCAGGTGTGCGGAACGTCCCCTGATCCCCGCCAAATAAAACTGCTCCTCTTCTGCACCAGGGCGTCTTGTGCTGCTTCAGCATCACGTGAGGGCTCCCGGATGGGACGGGCCCTGACCTGGGTGGCTGGGGACAGCAGAGTGTGGGCCCGGAGGTGTCAACAGACCAGACCCAGGCAGTGTCTAGTTCTCGGTAATGTCTCCAATTTTCTTTGGGAACAGTTTCTTTTCTTTGAACCATCTGGACCCACTGGCCCGAATCTCCAGATTGAGGCTCATCCTTGACCTCAACAGTTTCGGGGTCCCCGGGCCAGCCCACTCCTGCAGCTGATGTGGACTTTCATGTCTCCCATCCATGTATCCGGCAGGCGATTGCTGCTGCCTGTTGGTGCAGCTGGCGTGATCACAGGAGTTCCACGCTGTTCCACGTTCAAAGACCCTTTGCTCTGAGCATCCACGAGGGGCCAACATCTGCCCCTCCTAGGGAACAAACTGCCACCAAAGTCCTCCCCTCCACAGGGACCCTGTGGGAGTCCAGTCATTGGGGTGCCATTCTCCTGACCAGGTAGCTAAGCTGACCCGATGGCCTGAGTCAGTGACCAGCAAGAGGGGGGGGGGGGGGGGGGGCGCACAGCCATTGCCCCGCACACAGTGCCGCACATTGGGAAGAACATCCAGGTCCTGCCTCAGTCATGGTCTGATGGCTGCTGTGGCCCAGTGGGACGCAGAGACCTTTAGTTCTGCAAAACCATCGATAAGTCAGGTTGCATCGTCAAATCTTGTCCCCTTTGGGTGGCTCAGCCCCTCTGGCAAACCCGCTGTTTGTTCACAGAGCCTCACTAGACCCTGGTCTTGGCTGGGACCGGCTCAGATGCCTCATTTCCATCTGGTGATGGATGGCATCTGTTGAACCTGTCCAATATTATTGTGGCATCTGTAAGCACCAATGCCAGCGACTCAGGTCCTAGCAGTACATGTGGCACCACAGCCCTAGACCTTCGTCCCCACCAGCGCCCAGTGGTAAGCAGGGTTTACCATTCAACAGGGGCGCTCCCAGCAGACACCTTGACAACTCGTGTGTCCCAACGCCAAGAGGCTGATGCACCCCAGTTGGGATTTCCTGTTGCCACGGAAACCAGAAACCATGCACGGAGGTCATGGACGCCTGTGGTATCACTGGGCCAGCTCCTAAGGTCCCAGAGACAGTGCCTGGGCCGTGACGGGGTGAATGCCTCCCGAGGCCTGGATGCAAGGCTCCCATCCAAAACTGGCTGCTTTGCAGGTCACTTGACTAAGGGGCCTGAAGGAACCCCAGGTGGAGCACACACTGCCCCTGCTCCCCATAGGAGCCCACCAGCTCATGGGCCTCCTTCATGATCAGTGGATGTCACCAAGGCCAAAGGTGTCTGCTTCCCTGTAGCTGGCATGCACCTCTAGCTTCCTGTCCAGGGGGCCTCCAGGAATCACCCTGTTGTGGGAGTCTAGAGTTTATTGGGTCTACTGCACTCACAAGTGCCTGTCATTGTGTCAGCGACAAGCCCAGTCACCTCCACTGGTTTTTTTGAGCTGCCCTACTCTCAGAATGTCATCGATGCAATGGATGACCAGAATGTCCTGCCTCTGGGGCTTGCTGAAGGTCATGCCCGCCTGCTGGTGGCTTGCTGCAGGGGCACTGAGGCTCCCTGCAGATGCATTCAGTGCCCTGTGAGCGCACACTGGCCTCGATCTCCAGCCCTCCAAGGGATGGAGGAAAAGGTATCAGCCAATTCAGGGACAGCCTCCCCATCTCTGGGTGGAGAGCCACTGCCTGAGGGACAGGGAGGACATCTGGCACCCCAGGGGCCAAGGGCAGCACCTCAGCACTCAGTCTGCAGAGCCCACTGGCAGCTCTGGGCCCTGGAGGCCTGTGGGGCTGGCCGGGCCCGACTGTCCATGGGACAAGGTGGTCTGTAACAGCCCTGATGCAGCCAGTGCCCAGTTGACAAAGTGACACCCCCTGGACCACCCGGTCTGCAGGACTGCTTTCTGTTGACAGCCCACGGGTGTTTGGGTGCCTTGGGTGTCAGGCCAAAGAACACCTGTCCCACTGTGTGGCTCACATTCTTAGCTCTTCAGGGACATACCTACTCAGGAGGTGGTGACATTCTGTGCCACAAGCAGCCAATGGGAACCATGGTCACCAGCACCCAAAATGGCCCAAGGGGCCCTCACACAAGCACAATCACCACTAGCACAAAAACACTTTGGGTCACACTGCATTTGTCCCCAAATGTCCCCAATGTCATCAGTTTAGTTTTTCCCCTAATATTTTCCCCAAAATATTGTCGTGTAAGCACCAGCATCCAAAAGCCCCAGGAAGTCTGAATTCCCTGGATTCCCTTTTCATCCCAACAGGGGCACAGGGCCACTGGTCTCTGTGGGACCCTAAGGCCTCGGTCCTGTTGTAGGACAGATGGAGGTGGACAGTAAGGAATTAGCAGGAAGCGGGTTTACTGGCTGCAACTAAGCTCAGAGGCAGGGCTTTCCACCACCATCAGTCAATCCCTGTGAACCCCAAGTTCAGAAAGTTTCAGAACTTTATACCCAGTGTGTAGAGGAGGGGCTCAGAGGCTCACAACCTGCAGACATCTGCATGAAAGCAGTTTTTTTCTATTATTCTGGGCAGTCAACCAGGCCTGGATAGAAAATCAAGGACACTCTGAAAATCAGTGCCTGGGAAAGGGAGAGTTCTCCCCTTCCTTCTCACCAGCTGGCCTCCAAGGACCTGATAGTGTCCTTTGAAATGCAAACCCCTCTGTGCAGAAGGCCTTGGGTTAGTTGTACTTTGTTTCTGTAAACACCTCCCCTCTCCCCCCCACCCACCCCAACCACCCCCACCCAACCCCCACCCCCACTTGAAAATTCTTCTGCAGAAATTTTTCCTGAGTATCTAAGAACAATTATGGTGAAGGTTTCTGGAGAAGCTTAATTAAGATTTTCTGTGAAAGAGGGATGCCACTACAATTCCCCCCTTTCAGGATGCTCCCCATAATTTGATCTTTTAAATTAAAGAGCATTATTATCATCCTTTAGGCTTAAAGGCTAATATCATGTCAATGCATTAGTTGTTGTCCTATTTTAACAACTGTTTCTATACTGGATATAAAGTTTTAATGCACAAACATGGAGTAACAAACAGGTTAACAGCAGAATGAATACCCATTACACCAATTAAGCTTTTAAATTCACCAAAAGTTGAAAACCATCCTGCAAACAGAGAGTTTGGATCCCAAGCTTTAATGCCTTCCAGGTTTGAACCAGCATATGGGCTAGGTTTCTTATGTGGTTGGCTTTAACGGCTTGTCCATAATCATCTATTTGCATGCAACAGTGTGAGCTGTTGAATTTTCATATATATTTCTCTCCTTAGCCAGTAGGTAATCTAATGCCAAGTGGTTTTGATAGATAGCTGCTCACATCTGGGTCTGTTGCGTGGCTTGGAGGTCAAAGGCTGTGGCAGTCTGGTTAATAATAATTTTCAGTGCAGCTTGTAAGTGAATAATCCTGTTTAGCATGTACATAGGCGTTCTATAGCCCCAACTGTCATCTTGTACCCAGGTAGCAGGACCATAAGTAGCAATAATCCTCTGGGTGGCCAGTCATCTTCACCCCAACACTGTGGACCTCCTAGATTAAGTTCTTTTCCAATGGACCTCTTTTTCCTCTTTAGAGATGAACAGTCATCCACCTGTAGCATCTTCCTGGTAGGACAGGTCCTAAATATATGTTGTTTTTTTTTAATCATCTCTTGGTTATAATAGATTGGCTTGACATATAGTTAACATGCTTTTCATCAATGAGACAGAAGTGGGGGAGAGTCCCCTTAAGACAGTTAAAGGCAACCAACTTATATAATAGACCCACATATAGGTTAAACAGTGCACTTTA